TCGACCCTTACAGGCAGGGTCAATCGTGCTTGGGCAGCTCTTAACGAGGGGTCGTATTCAGAGTAAGTGAAAGTCAAAAGGTCGTAATGGGGGTCGCATTTGTGGAATTCGATGGGGTCGTGCTATCATAGTTGTGGGAGTGGGAAATGCGGGAGAGAAGGGGGTGTAGTGTTTGACGATTTTTTCGACTATCTCGTGGGAAACTTTACGAAAGAAGTTCACGAGCGACAAAAGTGGTGGATTTGCTGCAAATGAACTCTCCCGCCGTCTTCCCTTCCCTCGCTCGACAGCATTTCTGGAGAACAAGTGTGCGGAGTGGGGAGGGCTGTGTCGGCTGGTCAAATATTAGGTTGTCGGAAAAGTCTTTGCGCATTTGGCAACTTTTTTTCAAAATTGTTTTTCTTCTTTAGTGCAGCCAACAATTGCTGAATACATACACCACCATAATCGTCGAAACATTGCTCTTCAGCAGGCAACTTCAGGTTGCCGGCCTTCAGAAATCCCGAGTCTTTGGGCGAAGAAGCTCAAAGGGGTTGACTCCGAGTAGGTCCGGATCATCGGACTGCCCCTTTCAACACCTTCGACGGTAACAGAGGCGTATGGAAGTCCCTCTCACCAGGTTTGCTGAACACACTAAGTGGGTCAGATCATCCCATAACGAGCTTGGAGACTTTTCCTGAACCTTCTTCGTAATTCGTGGGCGAGCGTTGCCGACATAAAGTAAAGTTTCTCAGATTTTCCGGGCACCATGCCGGGGAACCGATCCACTTGCCAACATTATTGTTCACCAATAGCAGTGGACTTCGTTGGCAGCAGCTCTCCGTGAGCGAAACATTTGCAGCCTCATGAGCTTTCAAAGTTGCCTCCCAAGTTGCAGTTCTCGAATCGGCGTTGCAATCCTTTGTTTAACGCGTACCAGTCGTGCTTTCGCATGCGGTTTATGTGAGGATCCCACTTCTTGATCCCATTGACAAAGTTGGCGGATCAAGCGAGAGACGGGCGGCAAATCAAGAATGTCCATGCAAAATTTATGGTCTCAGTAGCCTGTTGGTCAGTCAGATCACGAAAATATCCTTTCGCCACAATTTCACCCTTTTCAAGACGATATAGAGTAGTGGGCATCTTTCGCCACAATTTCACTTCTTTTCAAGGCGATATTGAGGAAGTGGCCATTGTGCTCTGATAGCACTGAAAAAGCTCCGCCAATTACCGTGCATTGCACTAAGCACTCTCTCCAATCGAATTCAGAATACACTCGTCAATGAGGGTGGCAGGCCGACCAGATTTGTGGTTTTTTCTCAAGTATCTGGAACTCGGCAACCAAATAATTGGCATATTGTGAAAGATAGTCTGGAGGTCCATCACAACACGTAGGCCTCCTACTGCTTCGCTTCAATCGACGCATTTTGTGGGCTTAAAGGCAGGAGCAGTCGAACATACCTTCAGTAAAGGACGATTTTCCCAGCCTCAAGCGAATGCTACGACAGAAATGCTGTGGAGAGAGCATTGACCACCGCTCACATGCGTTCCACAGTGAATGTTTCAAAACGATTCCAAAGGGTTTGCAAGATGATAAAGAAAGTGCGCAAGAAGTTTCCCGACAACCTAATGCCAGAAACAGTCATGATGGTGAAGGCGGTTGTCAGGAATGGGAAGAGGATCGCATCAAGACCTTCTCAAGAAGAGAGGAGGGGAGGGGGAAAGTGTTGTCAAATTTTGAGAACTAGAACAGTGGATGACTGACCCTAGTCACAGGTCGGCCCCATATGGTGCTGTAGTAAATCAATTGAACTCTATGCTCGATAATTGGGGCGCTGGATAACCCCTAATCAAATGTTTACAAAATTCATTCAATGGCTTTAGAACGCAACTATGTTCTCAGGACTTTTAAGAATAGCGGATCACTTTCATCCTTCTAGTTTGGCAGAAAAAATGCTATACAAAAATGTGTATGTTACTGTTTAGCACGGCATCCGTCACCTGTTGTCAAGAAGTTTGCAACTGGGCGCTTCCCTCCCACTCCGCGTCCTCAATACGATCCTCCCTTCAGGGGTCGATGGTGGTCATACTGCCGTTATCCTGCATCATCTTGACATGTTGACGCATTTTGAAACCCGAGCTCCAAGTGTCGGAGGACGGTTGAGGATTCAGAACTGACAAAACACCGAGATTATCGAAATGCCGGGAATCTGTCGTCCCATAGCATGCAAGGTGGGTGGCCATCTGGAAACTCCTTCATGGAGGGTCGGAACTTTCTCCAGTAGAAGTGCCATCAGAATTGAATGCAGAAGTGTCAATTGTGTAGAATCGACAGAGACTCTGACGCATTTTTGAAAAGGCGGGTAAGAATGGAAGGAGGTTATATGTTTTGGAAAAAATCGGTTTTCTTCATTACCTTCTTTTCCCAATATTGATCTGTCGCGTTCGTGTAAGCGGGCAATTTGTGAAGAGCGATACATATGTGCCCTCCTTGTAGGACGAGTGCATTGGCCAGATTTTTGATCATATTCAATAGAGAACTAGTCTGAAGCTGGCTGTAAAAAGCTCTCGAAAGTGCCTGACTCAATCGAAGAAACAGTACAATAATATCAGTACATATGCATTTGTAGGTGCCGAATCAATGCTTGTTCGATAGCGAAGAAATTGAAGGTGCTAAGCAGGGTACAACCAGTCAAAACTGAAGGGAACCGACCTGGCACCCTGCTTAGCGGAAAATCTTGTTTTCCCCATCGTCGATCTTATGTATGTCTTGGGCGAATTTCGCTGGGCGGGCTGCACTCCTTAGGTTACTTTACAAGTAAGGTCTATGTCAGCCCACGCCATTTCATGTGTAAGGAGACCGATCAACGCATCTGTGCGAGCGCTGAGCTCGAAACCGTTTTGTTTTGCCGAACGGCTTTTTCAACCGAAAATTACGAGCTGGATCTTCGCCACGGGTGGGCGCCATCTTCACATAACGATCCCCATCCACTCGGCTCGCGAACTTGAAGAGAAGCTCTCCGCTCCGATAGCGGACAGTCGTGGTGCAATGCGGTCGCCGTCTTGCTATCATGTGGTGAGGTCGCAGTGTTCGAGTCCTTTGGACATGGCAAGTCTGTGCATTTCTTCAAAGGTCTGCTTAGAGTACGGACACCCAAGAGAGTGTTTCATAATGTGTTATTTGTTTTGAAATTCGTCCCTACTTGACACGCTGGAGGTTACGCCCGCCCCCCTGAACATTCCTTCTCGGCGCTTCTTTGTTAAAAGTGTTTTTAATGAACTAAACTTGACACACTGGAATCGCATAAAATACAAAAAATTCAATAATTTACGAGATTCATGGTAATTAGTCCTCACTAAACTGAATCTAACAAACAGCTTAATGGCTGCTCTCCGGCTCTTCTTCTTCAGCTTTTCGTCTTCAACGGATTTGAGCTCAGAGCAAGATGCGTGCATCGGACTACGCCTTATTACGAATGGTCGGGTTGACCAATAGACCATTCCTTGTTAGCCGACAATGCGCCACGTATCGGTCTCCTAGGGCCTACTCTTCATTCACCGTTGTTCCATTTCCCTTTCTTTAACATCTAGTTTACCATGCTATCTGCCTTTGAAATACCCGCTTCTAACGCAAAATCGTTTAAAGGCAGCGATTACGATATATTCAAGAAGGTTTAGAGGAGACGTGGTGGTGCTCAATGGTACGCCAGTGGCGAAAAAAGCAAAGAAATCCGTCAAGAAAACGCAAAACGGGACTTTTTCCGTTGGTTTTCACTCATGAACAGGTAACAGCTCAGAAAGCGGGCGTATGAACGAGTTCATCGCAACGCGTTTGGTGCACCATGCCAAACCACGCTCCAATCGAGTTGCTCCAGTTGTGCCGCTGCTGGCAACGCAGCTCGTCCAAATCATCAAGTAACTAGTGGGCGGATCGCGCGATTCGCTAGCGTTTCCGGCCGCGACGCGACCGCAGACGCTAGCGAATCGCGCAATTCGCGAAGTTTGTTATGGGCCTCAAAAGTCCTGCTCAGCAACCAGCGCACCTTTTGTCGTGAAAGCGCTACACCTCGCTTCCCTGGCAGCCAAGTAACTGATTCGTGTGGTGCATATGCTTCCCCGATGCGCTCCCTCTTTATCGTAATCGCTGCCTTTAAACATCTACTCATGAAATTATGTGAGCACTTATTAGATCAAATCACACGTAAGGTAAGAGGCGGGACGGCGACGTTGCTCAGTCGCTGGAAGGATAGTTAGATGCTTGCATCAAAAGCAAGCCCCGTGATAAATTAGGTGTGGAAGAGCGCACTGAGAAGCTAGAGGTGGGGACTGGTTTGAAAGGGGGAAAGAAAAGAAGAGAAACCACCAATCATGCCCAGAGTAAAGGCTGCCATTATTTTGGTCATATTCCCTTGGATGTATAGTGGGGCGGTGACGAGTTTCACTAAACGCGAACACCTCCCACGAGCTCTGGAGTAACCATGACCCGTGTCCCGTTTTTTAGCTCGGCAAGCGGGGTGTGCCATATTTCCTTATGGGCTTTTGTTTACAGTTTCGAGAGAGTGCAGTATAGCGTCATAGAAGCCTCGCCGTACTTGTGCGCATTCTATTTATTACAGTACCTAATCCCTTTGGCCTCTCACTCTTTTAGGCCCTCTGATTGCTAGTGGAAATGTTTAGCACGCTGCACGTTGACTCCAGTTAACTTTGTAGTTTTACGATGCAAGCAAATCTTTCATGATCTTACGTTCATGGAGGTTCAATTGCATGGTGTATCCCAACCATTATTGACATGTTCCATGAGCTTATTTCGTCTTAGATAGTTATAGATCCGAGGATGGTTCGCTAGAAGCTATTCTCGATTTTCCACTTCGTGAGTTTTTTCAAAGGAGTTTTTTTCAGTTCTCACGCTCAAAATTTATTAAAAACTGAAAATAGATTATTCAAAACAGAAGGCTACGGAATGGGGTTGTCATCAGAAAATGTGCGGAGCGGGAGCAGAACATGGTAGATGTTGAGCCAAATCAATTTCGAGGCCTTCGCTTCAAGGCTTTCCTCTCGTTTTTGAATGGATCCTCTGGGTGACCAATCATGCTGGAATAAGGAGTGTTGAAAAACAATACAAGTTAATAAATAAAAAGTAAATTATTCCAGAGTACAAAACTAGGCTGGGCTATGTGCTGACTTTTTGAATACGGTAGCCAGCTTTAGAGTAGGAACGACGCCACAACTGGTCTGTTGGTTTTTCGTCTTTTTTCTGCTGAGGATACATAGAGGCGAAGCATTTTCTAGCTCACCAAGTTTTCCCCTTACGCCTCCTTGCAACGGAAAATGAGAAGAGATAACCCCAAGGCCTAACCACAAGATCGAGGGTCGAGGAACTGGTTAGTTCCCAATTTTGACTGCAAAAGGGGTTTCGGATGCACTACCTGAGTGTTCTGGTATCCTGTGGTATTTTGAGCACCATTTTGTTCTCAAAACTGCTATAGAATAGTCGTGCACCTGGGTATTTCTAACATTGAACTATTGAATAGAGACAAAACAGTGGATTGTCAAGAATGATCAAATATTCTGCAAGCAGACGCTATTTCAATAAATCGGTACCCCAGTTTCAACCGGAACCCTGATGTATGTCGCACCCTTGTGCGGTATCGATATAACATGGAATGGCGTCAAAAACTCACAAATCGTCTGTAAAGAGCCTCTGGCGATGTTTGGTGTTAGACTCGAGCAGTTTAATTTCGTCGTTGGTCAACGAAAAGTCGAATATCTGTAAATATATATTTTACTTGGGAAATATATTCAAGATGAAGTCAAACTAACCGAGAAGTTTTCGACTACTCGTTTAGGTTTTACGGATTTCGGAATGATGGCGATTCCTCGGTCCAACGGCGTAGCGTAGCAGAATCTGAAAAAGAGAGAGCTCGTAATTAGAGTAAGCAAAACTGCGAAGAACCTCAAAATCGAACACTACCGCGTAGGTGGGCGGGCGTGCGCCAACCTCAGGCTGCGAAAGCAGTTTCTTATTTTCCGTCTCAGAACTATAATGAGAAACAACTACCACAACCACGTTCTTTTTCGAGCGCAATAACTTTAACTTTTTTATCCGCTCTGAGGACCACTTTTGGATGCAATCATTATCAAAGGAATGTGGGTTCTTTGGCACTGATTCTAATACACTTTACAGTGATTATGACGCTGATGTCAACGAAAATGTGAAAAGTGGCGATGCTGTCGGAAATGCCTTCCTATGTGTATCATTCATTGGTAAAACATTGTCTGATTTCTGATTTGGGGGTCTTTAACTGATAATTTGGCGATCTTGTGGGAGCTCTGACTTCATTCGGTGATATAGAATACTTCATTTTCATCGTAATCACGTACCTGAGCAGGAGTTTTGTTGTACTTCTTAGCCAAACTGCTTCACATTCGCATCTTCCAGATCCTGTGGAGCTTCTTTCCATCCAAATTTGCTATAAAATAGTCATACCACATATTTATGTTGATGTGTATCAAAACAAATTATTGGTTAACTTTTCTTAATTTCACAAGAATGCTGGGTTGTGAACAAAACTTTCGCCCCAGGCGGGACTAGAACCCGCACCTCTCGCTTTCCGGGCAAGTGCGCTACCAGTTACGCTACCGGGGCGTTTTGTTCACAACCCAGCATTCTTGTGAAACATTCGCAAGGCGAACTGCGGCCAAAAACAGCAGTTAACAAACAAAAACAAGTCAAAATCCACAACTTATTTCGGGAAATTCCAGGGATTCGCTACGCGAATCTTTGGTGGGGCTGTAGGTGGGTTTTTTTAAGGCCAACTCAAATATTCATGGAACACGCAGCTTGAAGGTAGTGCACGCCAAAAAAGTGTTGAAGATAGATATCATGGAAGGTGGTATATATCATGGAGGCGTGTCAAAAACCCACTCTAAGGAGAACGTGGTGGAGCGCAGTTTTGCACGGTATTTGGCACAATCTCAATGGGACACCGCTCAGCTGTTTAGTGTTCCTCAAATGGAATATCAGCACGTCCTGTGCCCATCAGCTACGGGGAGATGAGAGGGCAAACATCAGCTGTTCATACTTCGAGTCGCCCTGTGGAGTGCGATCAATGTTGGCCATTACCGTGGCAGCAACGGTCATCCATTCTCGCAAAATTCGAACGAGGGAGTCGCATTTGCGATTGGGGAAGGGGGAGGTTCGCATTTTGGGTTTAAGCAAGTTAACTGCCTCTGGAAAAGGGAACGGGGGTTGTACAAAGTGGGCTGCATGACGGGGTTTTCGACTACCTTGACGAAAGCTTCATGAAAGTAGGGTGGTGTGGACAAAATTGGTGGATTTGCCGCTTCGGTGGGGTGTGTCAAGTGGTCCCAGAATCAAATACCATAGAAACAGCCATGATGGCGCGGATGGTGATTGGGATAGGAAGAAGGGATGGCATCTTTGAGGAGCCTCCTAGAAGTAATGGTGGTGATGGGAGTCACATCGAGACCCCTAGGGAGGGGGGGCTGCAGAATTTTTGGAATATTGCGAACGCGACGGTCCGCCCATTGGAGCTTTGGGCAAGCTGTGTTTAAGCAGCTTGCACTCCTGCAGCTAATAAGTTAACTCACTCAGCCATGAAGTTTGCTCGTCCTGGTGATCCCAAAGTGGCGTACGAAGTAAGGGAAATGTTATGTTTCTTGCAGATCTCGTGAAGTTCATGTTGAGGCCAGTAAAGGTGAAGCTCTACCTGAACTACTCAACTTATAACAGTGGAAGTTTGCGAGTATTCAAAAAATGCTCAGTGGAAGTTTGCGAGTATTCAAAAAATGCTCGAAAGTTCTCACCTGAAGGTTATGAATGGGCACGGTAGCGGTTTTGAGAACACGTTCGATTTGTTCGCCGTTCCAATTCGACACGCCTATTGCTCTAGTCAGTCCTTTTTTGTAGACACCTTCCAATCCATGCCAGATGTCCTTCACTGTCACCGACTTATTTTGTGCTGTCATGTCATGCTGAAAAAAGAGAGCTTGAAAGCAGGTGCTACAATCTTTTTCTGGACGGAGGAAATCTGCCTAATGTAAGGAGAAGCCAGGCACATGGAGGAACAGAACGTGATGCCTTCGGGAGAGAGGACGCGCCTGTAACAAACTGAAAACCTTCACCCGATTTTCTGAACGCCTTTATGCAATGCAGTGATTAACTTTTCAGCCCTCGCCCTCAGTTCTTGCCCCCTTGGCAGTGACAGTGAAGCAGGGCGATGCGTTTACGGGTGACGGCAACTATCGTACAATCTCCCCCAACGCGGAGTCACTGGAAAAAGGAGCCTTGGGCTGCGTCCTCCCTTTCTCCATTCGCCAATTAAGCTTTCAATTCCAGCAGGCGACCAATTTGTCGCACATTGCCGTAGAAGGCACCAAAGAATCAAGGCTGGAGTTGGGAAATTTCCCCCATCACCAACCAAGCCTTTCCAGTAGGCTCTTAGAGGCTAAATAGGTCAAGAAATAAACAACGGATTAGGAGGTGTTCAAGTGCATGGCGTATACAGGAGGACTGATCTGTAAACAACTTAATCTTCCTTGAACTGCACGGGTCTTAGATCGAGCCTGTTTTCTTCGTGATTAAGATTGCAGGGTGCGTGAGCACAGAGATAGTGGTGGCGGTGTCTGCGCTCTTTCGTACAAAGTGATCTCTCGCGTATTCCCTCTCCTCTTTACACTGTGTCTCTCCGTCGTACCACGGTGGATGCCATATGAGAAGGAGCTTCTCAAGGTTTGTTCACTTCCTCACTGACGGTTCATTTTACACCTCCTGTCCTATTTTCGAGCGACATAATACATCAATTCGGTAGTGACCCAAACTTTTGAGGAGTCCTTCCTCAGGATGTTAACAGGCCTACTATATACATTCGGTTACCATTTGGCATATGAGACAGGTAAAGATCGACGTAGTTCATATTGAGTTTCCGAAGAGATTCGCGAATTGCTCCTTCGGTGTCGTCTGGATGCTCATGGGTGATCCATACCTAAAAACGATATATCCCAAATGCTATA